GCAATGAAAGATGAACCGGAAGTACACTATGAAGTCAGCGGTCCGAGCGCAACAATGACTATTCCAAGACGAGAATGGATGCCTTTTAAGGTCTCGAAGAAACATTCGTCGCCGAAGACTCATGACGTCTGGATCAGAAGGACAGAATCGATAGTGCCGACTGTCACGAGTTATCGGAGAAGATGGCGTGAGATTGACCGATATTACAGACCATACGGTGTACTGTCCAGGCCACTTTCCGATATTGGCATGGGTTCCACTAGGACATCTCCCGAGAAATATAGGATACGTGCGACTAGATTCAGTGAAGTACCCAGAATGACAAGTGTTGGCATATGCAGAAACACGTGACAAAGATCTTTACAAGAAGGAAGAGAAACTTTACGAACAATGGTTAGCTACCCAACCATCAGCCGTCGCACGACCAGAGTACACATACCCGACCTCAATTCTCCAGCATGAAGAGAGTGAAACAGCTAGTGACAACAATATGCATGAGGACAGGGGTGATGTGCACAGGAGTGCAATGGAGGAGAGTGCGGACATCTGGATTGCGAACACAGGGATGACGGAAAGAGTATCTGACGACGACTCGTCTTGCAGTGAAGGAAGCAGCGACGGCTCACTCGAACTAAATTTCCCCGAAGCTACGCCAGATCCGAACTCTGGAAGTGATTTCATGAACCTGGAGAAGGCGTTCATTTCGGTTGTGAAAGCCATAACTACCAAAGGATATGAGTCCGTGGAAGACGATGTAATATATGTGCATGAACCAGCTGACGTCGAATTGACTGACTATGCCCAAGAATTAGCGTTTCTACCGGATTTCTCAGATCATTCACCAACAGAGCTTGACTTTTCGGTAGCGAATGTTGTGAACTCTGCTCTATCAGTCGACGACCAGACCAAGTTAGTGAATGTTTTGAAAACTCACAGGAACATAATGATCGCCAGTGGTAATGCCCTACCACCGCCAGCATACGGAGGAGTGTGTGACATAAATGTGGAAGATCACGCACCCATCAAGCAGCGAGCTCGTCGGATTCCAATCCGATATCTCCAGAAGCTCCATGAGCTGCTAAAAGGGTTGCTGAAAGCAAACGTTGTGTCATTTTCAGACAGCCAGTGGGATTCACCGATTGTTATAGTCCTGAAGAAGAATGGGGAAGACATTCGATTATGCATTGACTATAAGATGGCCAATGCAGTTATAGCCATAATGGAGTATGCTATGCCGTTGGTTGACGATTTGCTTACACACACAGACCTGGATTCCTATATGTGGTTCTGCTCACTTGACGCAGCCAGCGGATTCTGGGCCATAATAATGACTCACAGAGCTCGCAAGATATCAGCATTTGTTTGCCCACTGGGGCACTTCGAATGGCTTAGAATGCCATTCCGGGTTAAAAATGCACCGATGATATACCAGCGCATGATAGATAACGCACTGTGGGGATTTGTGCAGCCGAAGGGTGGATGGCGATTTTTCGCAGAAAAGATGAAAACTGCGGAAGATATTGTGAAAAGTAAACAAGTGCATAGTGCCGAACACTCCATCAATTCATGGGGTGAATCACCGATAGTCAATACCAAGTTCGCGGCAGCTCGAAGTGACGTAGAGAATCATGATCCCGTGTTGAAGTTAGTGAACGAGCCGACAATCGTCATTTGTGCCGGTCTTTGACAGAAGAACGTTCGTGGACGATATCTGTTTCGGAGGAAAGACATTCGATGACTGCCTCACAACTTTAGACCGACTCCTAGCTCGATTCACTCCTAGCTCGATTCACAGAATGCCGTATCAGTATCAGCTTCACCAAAAGTATATTCGTCCAACCGCGAGTTGAATTCCTCTCTCACGAAGTTTCGCACGAAGGGATTCGAGCAAATACTAAAAAGTTAGTCACGATCACGAAACTATCGTTCCCAAGCATGAAAAGGGGAATACAATCCTTCTTAGGAGCACTGAACCACTATAGTAGATTTATATAAGACTTTGCAACCTTCGGGGCGGCACTATACCAACTAAAGGACGATGACTTTGAAGAAGACGGCGACCTAACAACGGCTCGCCGAAGTTTCGACATGCTCAAACAGAAAGTAGCCGAAGCACCGATCCTTCGGCACTTCGACAAAACGAAAGAAGTTCACATCATGCTCTTCGCCAATGAATGGGCATTGAGCACGACTCTTCTTCAG